CAGTCAGGATTTAGGCATGGTGATTCTACTATTAATCAATTGATCGCCATAGTTCATGAGATCTTATTAGCTTTTGATAATAGTGAACGAGTCTTAAGTGTTTTTCTAGATTTTCGCAAGGCATTTGACACCGTTATGCATAAGGGTTTACTAGTAAAGTTAAAAGCAAAAGGATTACCACCGTCCTCAGTGAATTGGTTTGAAAGCTATCTCTTAAATAGAGAAATTGTGACCACGGTAGACGGTATTACATCGTCAGCAAGAATCGTTGATAGAGGAGTGCCCCAAGGCTCGGTCTTGCGACCGTTACTGTTTTTGATTTTTATTGATGATCTTGGTGATAATGTTAGTGCAACAATGCGATTATTTGCTGACGATGCCTCACTCTACCGCGTTACAGAGGAAAACGATATTAGAAAAGTTATAGACCAAGTAAATAAAGATTTACTCTTAATTTACGGATGGTCTATAACTTGGAAATTGTATTTAAATATTGATAAATGTAAAGCTATGATTTTTTCTACTCGTGAACGCAATACTCTCGCTTCGCTACCACCCGTCGAGTAGCTGACTAATTGGAGCCCAATATAACTACGATTTTGCGAACAGAATACTACGAAACTTTCATACGTGGTATACACTTTACTGTAAAAGTTTAGAAAAAAAAAATTTTCCTTCATGTTCGAACTGGAATTGGGATGAATACTTTACTGTAAAAGTCTGTAAAAAAAAATTTTTTGGCAGAGTTTGAATTCGAATTATGATTCTGCCAGATATCGAATCCGAATTGGGAGGAATTCTTTACTGTAACTGTTTCGAAAAAAAAAGTTTTTCGTCGAACTTCGGCTTAGGTTATGAAAAGAAAAAAACAAAGGTGCAGTTAAAGCGCAAAAAGCTCACTTACGAATACTTATCCTTTCAAACTGAAGAACACCGTAAGCGTAATTATGAATCCTCGGCCACATGAAAAATGGGATTTCATCGAACTATGAATTTTTCTGTTAAGATGCATGCATTGAAAAAAGAATTTATCTTTAAAATATATTATATTGTACTGGCAGTTAACGAAGAAGCAATCAATAACGCGCCATCATTTGAACAGATATTCTGATTCGAATCAATGAACAAACCTTTAATTCCTTTTGCAGCATCAGATAATAACAAAAATTTCAGACGAACTATAACAGCGCTTGAGAAACATGCTGAATAAACTGTGGGTAAATGATTTTTTATCAAATAGATGAAGCATATGAAAATCAATACAAAAAATTAGTTCACACAGTATTCTGAATGATGAAAAGGAATTTCTACAGCGATAGCGATGCATGCCACTGCATAAAACGCCGAATTATTCTGCTCCTCTGGATGCCTCTCCAAGATCAGGATTATACAGCTTCGACAAAACAGAATACTTAAACACGACTTATCTGAAGAAATTATGACTGGAGCTTAATATCAATGAGAATGATGATCGCCAAACATTTAATCTAGAAAAATGAGTTTCACTAAATTATGTCCACGTTTGATCTCAATGCTGTGATACGATTTGATTTATAAGACGAAAGATGAAAACAAACAATTTTTTTCTATTCTGAACAAGAAGTGCGTGCATTTTCAAATATAACGATATAACGGGAAAAAAGCGCGTAATTAAACAATAAAGAATGTCGAATAATATAAACAGACATTCTTTGTTCTTCTGTCTTATTTTTTCACAGTACACAGAAAGGTAACACAATCGAGGGTCATAGATATCGAAACAAAAAAGGAAGTTTATTTCTTAACAAACATTGATACAAGTCAGTCGCGTAAGTAGTCACAAGTTTTCGTATCATTTTCCGTTTAAAGATTGCTTACAAAGTAGGTTGATATGCTTTTGGTTTCGAATTCCATATTTCAGATCCAAGTTTTTAGAGGTTTGTTTTCTTTCTCGTTCTTTATTATTTCGTTTTTTAGAATGTCAGGTAAATTCATAACGAGCATGAGAAATTCAAACATACATTTAGAGGTTTCCATATACATCAATCGACAACAATAGGTGTAGAAATGGAAACTAGCGGTGTTGGATCAAGTGGAAATGGTGACAGTACAGTAGTAGCAACAAATGGAATTTTGACCGAGACGAGCAGTGGTGGATGTGGTGCTTGTGGTAGCGGCTTGGGTGAGTTTTTCAGTTGCTTTCTTCGTATTGTAATATTCTTTCATATTTTCGGATGTAATAGGTGGTGGATGTGCTGGTTTAAATGGGGGCAGCCAGTCAGTAACATCAACAAGCGAGAATTCAGTTTCGAGAAATAGAGAAAGAGAATATTAATCGCTTTGTAACAGCAGCATCCATAATTTATTAAGATTAAAAATAAAGTAAAATTAAAACTTAAAAGTTACTCGACGTTTCGACTGCCTATGCAGTCATTTTCAAGAGAAACATACTGTACATGAAAACTAGGCACGAAAAAAACATATATATATATATCAATCGTACTAACTGAGTAGAAAGAGAAAGAACTTTCTGTTTTAGCCCTTCCGTTTCTACTAGAAGAAAAAATAAATTCACGGCTGTACTGTCTTATTATTCATTTCTCATTCACTCTGTCACCTCCTGGATCCAAATCACTCTTGCTTTCCTTCTTTTCTTCTCTCTTTCCTTCTTTTCTCCTCTTGCTGTCTTTTCTTCCTTCTTTGTACAGATCTAGCAGTACCGTTTAGATTGGGTTTCAATTGTCAGCTGTTACAAAACGATTAATATTTTCGTTCCGTTAGGCCTTCCGTTGTGGAGATACGAATCTTTTAAAGTTTGTTACTTTACGCTGAAATAACACTATATTTTTACTTTCGAAACTTTTTTCTCTTTCATTCAGTACTTGATAGACTTTTGAAACAGTCATTACTCTACAAGTTTGACTGTATTTTGAATACACTAACTTTTAAGATATGCGAAGGCGTTAAAATTTTTTTTATCCAGTTAATGATTTTAGACGTATTAAAGGTGTAAAATGGCGATTTTAATGCGTTCAAAGGAAATTTTTGGTATCAAAAAAATTCTTTTTTCTTGATAAAATGTTTTTTTTGTGTTAGTTCATGTTAATAGTTTCTGTATTATATTGTTAGTTGTTGTCTATAATGGACTTGATACATAAATAGGAGAAAAAAAGAATAACTTTTACATTTCATTATTTTCAACAAATTATTGTTTAAAGTAAAACAAACGAGAAGTATTTCAGAACAGGATGTGGTTTTCTTTCTCTCTCTCTGCTTTCAGATATTTTGTTCTTGTTCTATATACATGCACTTGAGAGATCACAGTTCGCTACCAAACCATTATTGGCGTCACCTCCACAATCAAACAGGTCTTTTTGCAAACCGTTCATCTGCGGGAGGAGGACTTAGAATGCATTGCGCAACCGCAAGATCATCCAGTATTTGAAACACTTTAGCTCCTCGCGTGCAGCAAACCATCTATGCCGGAGCTAGAGATAAGCGCAAGAGTCAAAATCGTAATGCGTTGTACCCAATAAGTGTTGCACAGTATCGGACATTAGAAGCTTTAGGCTGATGTAAACGATATGTATCGTGTCAGTTTTTAGTTGATGTATTTCATCTAAAAACTGAATTTGTCGTGAGTGACCACCGTTGTGCAGCATCTAACATTCAGTTTCGTCTTTTCGAGGTAAAAACGAAAATTGAAGGTGAAGAAACACGTGCCTTGTTTTTTCGCATTCACTTCCAGTTTTTTCGCATTCACTTCCAGCAAAAGGCGCCCGAGTTTATAAAACCGTAGTTTTATTAACAATCTCCCACCATCCGTTAGCAGACCGCTACGTATATCCTGATTGAGGTCTGGGCTACATCGGCAGTAAATAATCCGATGCGACTTTCGTGACAAACAAAATTCTGGGTGGGAGAAATTCCGAATTTTCAACAGCATTTATAAAACTTCATATTTCCACTTTTATCACGTCTTCTCTCCTTAAAAACTTCTTGATTGACACGAATACCAACAAAAACTCATACGACAAAGAACGACAATGAATTCTTTTTTGCTTTGCCTTTGTTTTATTATTTTTTAGCTTCAAGCAAATCAAACAAGAAGAAATCCAAAAACCTGTTATTTTATCGGTTCAAATATCTTTTACCACTGCATTTGCTTGTATGTTTAAGCATTTCGACCGATTTTATCTCAGGTTTAGGATAGTTCGTCGATGGAACAATTATTGCATTGTTTTTCTCCAACATATTTTCTTTTTTTAATAAATAAAATGAAAATAAATGGGGAGACACGAGAGTGAGAAAAAGAGTGCATACTGAGATCATCACACTCCTTAACAGAAAGGCGGGTAAAGCCTGGTTGTTTCCGGAGGTCCTTAACGGAATATCCCTTATCTGTGTTCATGTATGCAAATTTGATTTTAGGAGAATGAAACCATAATGAATGGGACATGAAGCTGAACAGGAGCATATTCTAAACTTGGACCATCACGTTCCTGAACAGAAAAGTGGGTAAAGTCTGATGGTCCCCCCTTATGTTTATCTTTATGCTAAGAGAAAACGAAATAAACAAATAGGTTATGTCGTTGTTCGATTTACTTGCTGTGTATAATGTCTCTTGATGAGATATCAGTCGGAGCGCCAAGCCCAAAATGCATAATAGAATAACATTGTCCTCGATTTAAAACTTTAAATTTTGCCCACATTATGTCTGAAAGACTACCTCAAGTAGAGAATTTATCCCTAAAATATTTTCTTTGCTCAAATGGTTCCTTCTTCACTAGGCCGTCTATGCATCCGACGACTGGCTTAAAAAATGGGCTAATTAATAATGTAATAATGTCAGAGAAATCAACTATATTTAATGTCGTTTCCCTGTACACCATATTTTTGGATTCTGAGTGCATTACCGACCGACCTACTAATTGCAGAAGAGTTTTCAAAATTCCAGAAAATAAAGATAGATGAAGCACTAAAATCTAAGTACTTTGGTGTCTATGTGGAACTTCACTTTCACACCTCGTAATGAGCAATTTTATCTCGTGTTCTGAGCAATTTGGACACCATTGGCATCCAGACTAAGTAAGTATATTGATAAAACTTCAATGCTTCCTCAAACATCCTCAATAAAAACTTCTTCTACTCACTAAACTAGACTTCGGCGAAGTGTCCATAGTCTATAGTGCCTATTCGAAGGTCGATACTAATTTAAATTCACCCGAAACCGATCATTTGCAATAATGTAGTTTAAATTAATTTCTTCTCAAACTAATACAATTTTGGGTTAGAAATCCATTCGAATTAATGTGCATTTAGTTCATATAAATTTGAATTAACTTCGATCTCTCAAATTAAAGTGAATTTCAGTCTTTTTAATCCAAAAGTGCTTAATTAGTGTAATTAAGCGCTTTCGGACTAAAATAATTGAAATTCATTTTAATTCACAAGTTGAGTTCCAATGAGCAAGTAGCATCGGATATCTTCAACATAGACGTATTAATGTGGGTAAATGGGATTCGACCTAGTGTCTTGCTAGAAATCGAACTTTTAGAGTTAGCGTTTACGACAGTAAGATGCTTTCTCACATCTTTCGTTATTCTCTTTCACATTTCATTTTCATATTTCATTTGGGTTTTTCGTTTTTTCGTTTTTTCACACCGTTTGATAAAGCTCATCAAATTGCCAGTTTTAAGTCTTTGAAAAGGATTTTCAGGATGAAAGTTCGATCTTTTTAAAAGCTTAACATTTCGTTGAATTTTATGAAACGTTTAAAAACATTTTATAGTTATTTTTTTCCAACCAATTGATTTAGAGCTTCTTCTCAAGTATATTCTAAAATGCAGCGGACCTTGGCTTTCTACGTAAAACTTCTTTGATTAAAGATGTTTTTAAACCTTGTTGAAGATGATCGAGTTCAGATGTATCAGGCATTTGATCATCGACGGTTTTACATAGACGTATAATATGCAGTAACAGGTTCATGTAATCCCTGTTTACAAGTACGAAGCTTTAGTGAAGCAATCTGTTTCGCAGCCGGTGACTGATATGCAGTTCCAAGATGTTGAACAAATTCATCCTCAGATACGTTGACGATTTTAAACGAATCAGAGAAATCATAATTTTATAGTTATTTTTTTCTCTGAAATCGCGATTTTCCTAATTTCTTTAAAACTATCAAGGTATCTGAGGAAAATCAATAATCAATAGTGTTTCTATGAAAAATCGATGCCCACTTTTTAGCTTTTATAAAAGTCTGGGCAATTTTTTATAGGTTTTCTATGAAATCCTCATGTATTAACTATACGCATATGTTTCAAATGGTCACCGACTGACATAACTTGCAGTGTAGTATCGAGATCATGGAATGAGACTAGTCACCATGTGTCACTCACAGAGAGATTACATCACAGAACAGAAAAGCTATCTACGTTTGTGGTTGATGGCGAGTAAGTAAGTGTTCGGTAACGGTAGCTGACCATACCCGGTATTAAAGCTTTACAAAGTTTTAATAGTTTATCATACTATGCATGAAAGGTACAAAGACCTTTGCAGTTTTAACATTTTGCTTTGTAGCATACAAATTAACATCTTTCGCACTTTAGTAATTTACAGGTCAGACAAATAAAGCAGATATTTAATACACTTAAATGTTTCCTCTAGGATGGTCAAACACTGGTAGCATGAATAATAGGCGAGTTTACCACACAGCATGCGTATTAACAAATGGAAAAGTGTTAGTTACAGGTGGATATGATAATGCTGGTTATCCAAATAGTTCTGAATTGTATGATGTATCAACGGGGACTTGGTCATATACTAGTAGCATGAATAATGCACGAGCTTCCCACACAGCATCCGTATTAACAAATGGAAAAGTGTTAGTTACAGGTGGATATGATAATGCTATTTATACAAATAGTTCTGAATTGTATGATGTATCAACGGGGATTTGGTCATATACTAGTGGCATGAATAATGCACGAGCTTACCACACAGCATCCGTATTAACAAATGGAAAAGTGTTAGTTACAGGTGGATATGATAATGTTATTTATACAACTAGTGCAGAACTATATTGATCAACATAAATAAGTTAACGATAAATGATTTTTGCTCTTTTATCCAAATAGTCCCATCTTAGAGTACTGTTTTAAGAAGATGATTGTCTTATTCTAATAACGATGATCTGTTTCTGTTTCAAGACAATGTAAAGGGATTAATGTCTAAGTAGATGCTATGATAGACCTTCTGTAACACTCTTTAACGGGGCTTTCGCAATGAAGTCTGTGTATACTTTTTACGGTAAAATAGCTGATAATGTCCTCTAACAAGACTTTCGTAACAGTCTTTTACAGGGCTTTTGTAACGAAGTGTATATTTACTTTTCAGGTTGAAATGATGTGCGATTGTACTCATTCATTCTCACTGTTTCTATCGGTTTTCTCCTTCGTTTACAATAAGAAGTAGCATTCGTTACGAAAGCCCTGTAACAATACAACATTATTATTTATATCTGGGATAAAAAGTACCTATAGACTCCGTTACGAATGCCCTGTAAGAGTATCTACCAGAGATTAATCCCATGCATTAGCGTTAGGAAAGCCCTGTTAGTGCTCCTAGTGACTGACTATTTCATAGAGAGGATATGGCCCGATTAATAGTGTTCCGAAGGCCCCGTAAAAACAGATGCTAAAGCCCTGTAAAAAGTCAATTTACAGGGCTTTCGGATTACGCAAGCCTTGTTAAAAGAAGAGGGGTCTGGATGAAACGTCACCCTTACTGATCACAATAGTCAAACAGTTAGTCTATTTTCCTTAACTACAACAAAACCCAAAAAGCACTGGAAGCAAAACACTCGTTGCACTGCGTTAAAAAGTTAAGAAATGACTATAATTGACTTGTATTCTATATCTATTACACATGTTAAAAGAGAACAAAGAATAAACACAGTGGACGATAATATACGCACACTGTCTGTCTGTTTTTCTTCTTCTATCGACGGATGGACGAAATAAAAAAATATTACATCGCTACAGACTGAGATAAAGGAAAATACGAAGTCAGTGTGATCCTAGTTTCGTGCAAGGATTGATTTTGTACTTTGATAGTTTAAGGAACAGAATGGTATAATAATAAAAAATTTTCGTCAACGGTGGGTAAAGGAAAAATCTCCTCAAGATCTTGTCTCGAATTCGACACGATCTTGCTATAATCCTGCCGCGATCCCGTCACTGTTTTAAAACACAAATGAAACGGGATCGCATCACGAAGTTGATCAAGAACGCGATTCCAATTATAAGATTACGATTTAATTTCCCAAGGTCAGCATTTTTTCGTTACACGGGAAAAAATCGGGTTCTCAGCAAGAATGGAACGGGAATATCACTAGGGTATGGATCTTACATTGAGGCTGCCATCCATTACAAAATGTAATATTCTTCAATATTTTTGAATAGTATTAGGTAGAAAAGTGATAAGAACCCACCAGTGGGCGATATTCGTATTTTAATTGATACTATTACTAGCTATAGTGGAAGCTGACACCCACTGAATTTTTATAAACTCTCGCTGGATTGGAATACTTGATAGCAGCATCACATAGGCTGAAACTGTTCAACAGGATAGTACTTCTACACTGTAAAAGAAAATAAGTTCCTCAGATCTTCAAAAATTCATCAAACAAAGGAAAACGAGCTTTTGTTTGTCCAATAAATAGAACTCGTATCGAGTTTTCATGACTTTTTAGCTTTAAAGAAAACTCATCCCAGTTTTTCTAAAACCTGAAGAACTCCAAAGAGATTCACAAAAAGCTCAGCAACTGGGTTTAAGTTGTTCAGAGAGCTCAGAACATGTTCTCTATATGGGACAAATGAAGAAACCATTCTTTTATGATGTGCGATGAGACTAAGAATGCTTGAAAACATATGTTTCCACCCATTTTCATCATTATCAGTAGCAGCTTCGTTTCTAAAATCCCAATCAACTACCATACAGACGATAATTGTCGTGTACTCAGACTCCTTACTATCGCAACAAGTTTGGAAAAACCTGGATATTCCTCTAGCAGAATATGTAACAGAACCAGAATCACTGCGTACATCCAATCCTATTTGAGTGAATTAATTCATATACTAGACAGAATAGATTTCAGTGGACGCACAATGAAAACCTTCAAAGATCTCTAGAGGGTCTCTCAGCAACCAATTCCAGTTGCGTTCTGTTACATAACAGAACCTTAACAAAGCAATATGTACTCTGGTTTTAACGGTATAGCGGTTAGTATAAAATAAAGAAAATTATTCTTTTAACCAGAAAAACTAGATACGTTTGAAAGCTGCACCGTAAACATGTCTGCAGTAGGCATGCACCAAACCGATAGTTCGGTGACCAAACGGTTCGCAACCGAACATGTTCGTTCACCGAACGGTTCGCTACTGAACATGTTCGCTGCCGATCAGCGAGCCCTAGCTTGGGATGGTTGCATGCCTGATCTGGACTAAAGGCAAATTGAATGAAATTGAAGCTTTTGAAGGAAGTAACCAGTG